CACTTCAAGCTCTACAAAAAGAACTATTTATTATCTTTTTTTCTTTCTTTTCATGTTTGCAAAATTTGGCTTTCTTTACACTTATGAACTCGTACATGGAAATCTCCTTCGAATTTCGAAAGCTTAACATTTCAGATATTAGAAATAATTATCGACACAAAAGAATTCTTACAAAGTTCTTTTCTTGAAGACTAAGTTACGAAAAGTACTTTCTTGCGCATGAGAGACAAAGATCTCTTCAACAATGAAGATTCATTTTCTTTCTTTATTATAGTTATTCCCAATATTCCCATCGATGCTCAATGGTCACAAAATGGAAAGACCGTTGCTGGAGATAATGGATGCGGCAATGCCACAAATCAACTCGCGGATCCTGGCGGTCTCTTCGTTGATGATGATCAAACGATGATCATTGCTGACTTCTGGAATGATCGCATCGTCCAATGGAAGATGGGTGATACGAATGGACAAGTCGTAGCCGGCGGCAAGGGCCAAGGAAAACGATTGGATCAATTGAATGAGCCAATCAATGTGCTCATCGACAAAGAGACTGATAGTCTCATTATCTGCGATTGTAGAAATCGACGAGTCGTACGATGGTCTCGTCGTAGTGGCACAACTCAAGGAGAAATCCTCATCGACAACATCGTTTGTCGGGGATTGTTCATGGATGATCAGAGATATCTCTACGTCTCTGATGTCGAAAAACATGAAGTCAGTCGATATCAAATAGGAGACAAGAATGGAATTATCGTAGCTGGTGGAAATGGCAAAGGTGCTGGTCTCAATCAACTCAACTTTCCGGCCTACATATTTGTTGATCAACAACAGACTGTTTACGTGTCAGACAACAACAATCATCGTGTCATTAAATGGAATAAAGGTGCAAAAGAAGGCACTGTCGTCGCTGGAGGTCAAGACAAAGGAAATGCTCTCACACAATTGTCAAATCCTACCGGACTTTTCGTCGATACGTTGGGTACCCTCTATGTGGCAGACAACGTGAATCATCGAGTAATGCGTTGGCCTAAAGGAGCAAAACAGGGTACTGTTATTGTGGGTGGAAATGGTGAAGGAGCAGGAGCAAATCAATTTCAATATCTCCGTGGTTTGTCCTTCGATCGACAAGGCAATCTCTATGTCATCGATTTTTATAATAATCGTGTTCAATTTTTTTCAATTCAATAAATTGCATTCGAATCGAAAAAAAATTTTTTTATTTCTATTCACGCGCGCGCGACCAGGAAACATCCTGGTGGAGCTGTGGCGAGCGTAACGCTCGTACACGCGCGGGATGACCCACATCATCCACATGCACCCATTCGGTGACATATGTCAGTGAGCCTGGG